GTGACAAAGTTCGATTATCATTATTAACAATAGATGTAGGTATTTTTCCATGATTTGACAAATTGGATATTAAGCAATGAAACGGTGCGATTTTTAATTCTCTTTACTAATAAAAATTGTTATTCACCAATTTCATTTCTCAAGCTTGCAAATAAAATAAAATACGCTAACAAAATATTGTTTTTTGTCCCCTATAAATTGTGCTCCATTCTAATTATAATTGTACTGAAATGAATAGTCATAGAAAGGAGTAATTTTTATTTGTACAAGGTAAGGAAAAGATTGAATTGGATAGCCTTCGAGGAAGAGGAAAGCTGGAATACACGCCCCTCAGGATGGAACACGCACTGCGTAGAAACTACCCCTCTACTTCAGTCAACGACGTACTGGTTCCACGAACAAAAACTAGGTCACTTGCTACGATACTCGTGCTAACTGGTGTCGGGAACTCACTTTCTGTACATGATATCGCGTAGGTAGATAGATAGGCGTGTATAGATGTACCAGGCATATAGGTGCCATAATTTTTTACCTTTTCATACAGTTTTAACCTACTCCAAATTCTTACTCGGTCGCAGATCAATCACCACGACCGATACAAATTGTACGGTATTAGTTTTCAAAATTGATTTATAGCGAATCGTTCAAGTTTCGGAAGGACAAAATGCTTGCATTTTTATATTTCACATAGTGTAAAGTGACCTTTTATTTTAAATTTATCTTAAATAAAAATCATATCTAAGGCCGATTAAGAAATTAGTTGCTGATTTGTTCAAATATCAATAATTTCTAATTTAATTATGTCTAAAGGATATGTGTGACAATTTTAATTTTTAATTATTAGTAAAAAATAAATACTTAAAACAAAGGCAATTATTAAAATTAATAATACACATCATAAATAAAAACCTATATTCTCAAATAATAATGGGGCTCTCTTTATAGTCCGCCATTCCAGAGTTAAAGGGATATTCCCAAGCTATGCTTCAGATCAAAGAACTCATTTCTTTTTTAGTTACAAGTTAGTTAAAGGTGAAAATCCTAAAACTTGATTTTAATTGCATCTTTAATTTTATATTAAAAATCAGGAAATAAGGAAAATAAAATATTTTACAAAACCACGAATATCAGCTGTCTAATTATTCTAATCTGAGCACAATACTGTATACAAAGGGACATATCGAACGTTGCGAAGGATGGTTTACTTTCAACGGTATAATGTACGTAAATAAATATGTAGTCATAGAACCATTGTACGTTCGATTTTCTGATATTGAAATAACATTGGGGTCGGTTCTCGAAACTTGAACTGTATACATTTTTAAAACAAAACCTTATTTCCTTCTCCTATTTAAATTGACACTGTTGATAGATTCGTGTTTGATAGTTTCTATGGTATGTTAAAATTACCACTTTTCATATTGTTACTTGCATATAACGTAATAAAGATAAAGTAAACATGCATGTACTGAAGCCACGAGTAGGTACGTGACACCTGCCATCAAAGCGTTAACACGTCGGCTACCACAGTAGAAATGGCCGCGTATGTTGAGACCCACTTTAGTAGAACTATTTAATACACAATATGTACACAGAAATATTTAAAGAGACTAACTTGGAATCTCCTCTTTTTGCACACAAAAAAACATGAATAAATAACGTAATTGATGGGATACATCTTTCCCGATACTTCTTAAATAATGGAAACTTAAATTGCACGTGACCCTACATGATGCAATAAATATAATATGTATACCTAACCAAAGTGAAGAATAATAATATAAAAATCCACGTATTAAAGTGAAGAATACATAACACCAGCCATTAAAGTGTTAATTCTATTAAAAATCGTTGATATTTCTTTCTTTTGATTGTTAGGTTATGTTAGATACATGGCGCCGGTGACCGGCAACCGCCACTTCAGACAATCGTTCTGACAAAGGGTTAACCCTGAAGGTAAGTAAGAATAAAGGAAAGGATAAAAACTTACCAAAATACGGCCCGTGGTGGTTTGTCCAGAAATCAGTTCACCGGCCCAGTCCTTGGCTTCGGTCATAAAAGTCCCCTCGAACTCCTTGCCCTGGCGGCTCGTCTTTTGCTCTTTCTGCTTCGGGTCATTTGGAGAGAATTCGGGTTCCTTGCGACAGCAGAGGAAGGCGAACGCACGCCAGAGGAGTACGATCAGCAGCCCGGCGAGGAAAGTGAAGATGCTCGATAGTAGAAAGCACCACCATTTCCGTTCCTTCAGGCAGTCGTCTACCGGGGGCTGCTCGGTCGCCTCTTCGGTCGTCATTACGGTGGATCTCTGCTGCCCCCGGGTCACACATTCACCGGCGGCTATCACAAGCAGCGGCCAACAGGGCGCTCTTTATGCGCTTCATAATTTCGTGCTGCCACGGGTCGCAGCACGCCACGCTGCAACTCTGCACGCCTCTTGCGTTTCGTCGCAGCTTCTCGCAGTTTTCCGACCACTCACCCACCAAACAGTTTTCCACCACTTTACTCTCCTTTATCCTCCTTCAAAACTTCTTAACTCACGCACGCACCAACGATCACCACCATATCACAACCCCCCTCCCCCCAACCCCACGATTATATGAAAATTCCTTTCCACCGATCTTACAACACCAATTCTGTATTTTCCTAAGTCCCTGTACAGCGAACCTATTCGCCACCTTCTCTCCGCTATCCCAGCTAACCTCTTCCCTTTTCTCCCTCACTTATTTATCACACTCTCGTATCACTAACTCACTTTCTTCTACCCCTTTCGTTCCTCCGTACGTTTCCCTCTCGCGGCTCTTCCTTCCTTGTCGCCTTGTGAAATCGCTCGATATCGATCGCACCCGTTTTCACCATTCGACAGATTCGCACCGGAACAGATCTTTTCCGTTAGCAAACGATTAGCGACGTATGATCGGTGGCCCGATACTGGTGGACTTCACCCGTGGTCGCTACCATGTGGTCGATTGTCCGTCGATTATCGACGAGTTCCGTTTCGTTAAGAAATTCTCGCGACTCTTCGGGTCCAACGAAATTTATTGTGAACCAAGGATCAGCACGACTCGCTTTCGACACGTTCGGCGGCAGCTGATGCCGCCGCCGCCGCCGCTAATGTTGCAGGTAGTTCCAATCTCGAAAGGGGGAGAATCAGAAAACAAGAAAACAAGCCACTGACACCACTACGATGTATACACATACGTAATATATATACTATGTATCCGTGTATGTGTGCGTGTACGTGTGTTTACATATACATGTATATATATTTATATGCACACATACATATGCGTGTATATATTATATATCAAACTGGAATCCATGGATCGTACGCGACGAAACGCGCTACCGATCACGGGGGAAAAAAACTTATCTATCCGTACGCGTGTCCCGCTTCCTTAACCTACTCGACTGTACCACCGACGACGACGACGACGACGACGGCGACGACGGCGATGAGGACGACCGAGTGTTCCGACGACCATACCACTGCTCTGCAGCAATCAATACGCAACAATGGACCGGGACCAATAAGCTCGGAGCTTTTCCTGACGTAGACGCACGCTCCCTCGCTACACTTCATCCCCCACTATTCCCCCTTAAAGCTTTAATGGCAAAGCTCACCAGCAGAGACCGCCACGTTGAACCAGCGTTGCGCCAAAACACATCTAACCCTTGTTGTACCAACTCAGAATTCAACAACCGATTTGACTCTTCTCTTACTGCTGACGAAATTTTATCTTATTTATGTTGTCACAATACGTACTTATATTACGAGCCACTGAGAAGCTAGTTCAACACGTCGATTGCCAATGAATGTCGAATAATTGAAAGATTTTAAGGTCACTTTTGTCACTTTCAAAAGGAGAGTATGTTATTATTATTATTATTTAATAATAATACCACACCATATTATTATTTTTGTAGGAAAAAATTATGTTATTATTTTAGGGTTAAACAATATGGTTACAATCGTTTTCAATTATTCATCATTCATTTAAGCAATAATAATAATAATATACAAAGTGATTAGTCGTGCTAGTCGTCCCTTACAATTACAAATTACATCGTGCTTAAAATGTGCTTAGGAAACAATTAGAAAATTCATATACTATATAAAACAAGTTATACAATGTATATTCTTAAATAATAATTTGTTAATAATTGTATTAAACAATAAAGATTATTTTGCACATCTTATTTGCAATGTAAAATTATTGCGATTTTATTATCTTCGTAATTTTGTAAACTTTAGATTATAAATGTTATCACTATTGTTGATGTTTTTTTTTTTTTTTAATAATAGATTGAAATTATCGATTTTGCCTTTTGACAACATCACAAGTGTTACACATTTGCTGATAATTATATTGTATGTAATATACTTTTAGTACATTATTCAAACGTGTTTCGCATAATTTGAAATTTAATGGTTCAGAAACACTCTAATTGACATTAATTATTTATACACATAAAGCAATTTAATATGCGGGATTAAATAATTTATTTTATTAAAATATATATATATAAAATATTAGAATATAATAAAATCGAAATAATAGCAAAAGCAATTCTGTTTTACGATATAAATTGATTTCATTTTTAAATTTCATAACTCCTATAGGGGTGGCGAGCATCCCTCGTGTTCACCTGTATATGTATACCTAACTATCATTTCTTAATGTAATACATATTTAATATCATTTAAAGAGTATAAACAATGCAATTTATGATCTTCAACGTTTGCTGTACGTAAATTATTTATGATCTCATTCTACAAAAGATCGGCTGAGTTGCCATAACTCTCTAATATCTAATTAATGGTTGCGAGTAATCGATACGTGGCTGTAAGTTTACGCTGTAAGTTCTAAAACAAAACATGTGTAATTGTTTACAATTGATAAAAATACTGCTGTATGACAATACAATCTAAAATTTAAAATAAAAAGGGAAGAGAGTAAAAGTGGAAATAATAATTTATATATAATAGAAATAAAATCAAAATGTCAGAAGAAAAAATTGAGAGGTATTTATAAAATCCATCCATATATACGAAATTTGTTATATACTTGTATAAATAATCATGAACTTTTTAATGTATTTATTTGCTAAGTATTTTGTTTCTATGAAATTATAAAGGTTATTCTTTTAAGGTTATGTATTATTCAGCATTTCAATTGTACATTTTAAATAAATTTTTACAGTCTAATCGATAAAGCAGATGGAACGCAAATTGAATCTATGGAAGATAAGATAAAAATAAAACAGGATGATAAGGGTAAACAAAAACATAAACAAGAAGATACCTCTGACAAATCTAATGGTCGAGCAAATAACAATGAAAGTGGAAATTGTTATTGGTAAAATTTCTAATTTCATATAAGTAATATGTAAACAATAGTCACCATGAATTATTATAGATTTTCATAATTTTTCAGTGGAAAGGAAAGAAATCTTAATATCATAGAATTATTGTGTGCTAGTTGCTTAAGATGGTTTCATGAATCTTGTATCGGTTATCAGTTGGGTAAATTAGTTCCCTTTATGATGAATTATATATTCATGTGCAAAAATTGTTCTCCTACTGGTCTAGAGAGTTTCAAAAAGAACCAAGCACGTAAGGATAATAATTTCAATAACATCAGTAATGTATCATTTATATTGTTGAACTAAATTGTAAAATTCTAATTGTTTCAGCATTTCCACAAATGTGTGTAACAGCAATAGCAAATCTGTTACAAATGTCCCAAAAAGATAATGAACAAAAAATACTTTTTCATAAAGACAAAGATATTATTCCTTTCATTGAATGTCACTGGGACAGTATGACTACAATGCCCCGCCGAGTTACTCAATCTTGGCATGCAACGGTAAATCATTATATTTTGTATTATTACTAATACATAATTGCTTGTTACTTACAATTTGTCATAAGAAACAAATATACAGATGTCCCCATGTATCCGTGTTATTATGTTCGAAGACCTAGTGCGGGTAATACCGAATACTATACAAAACATCGCATTCGCTTAATTTACATAAATTTTAATGTAGAATATTATTAACATTAAGTAACGATAATCCTTCTTTAATAATAAAAATAATAATAAATTAATAATCTCTTCCTCTGGAGCCATACAACTCCAAGAAAATATCACACAAATCCGCGGATAAGGGGACCAACTGTGCTAATATTTAACTAATACTATCTATGAGCCTCCATCAATATTTGCTATTTCTAAATTGTTGTACTATTTACTTTTTAATTTTTATAATTAAAATATTTTTATGGTATGCTCATAAATATAATGTATCCTTCCGTTTAATAAAATATATTTCTTTTAAACCAATTACCTTTAATATGAGTGAAATAATTGTGTTAATGCAGATACATAGAGCTCTATTAAAAGACGTTGGGTCGCTATTTACTATCGATGAAAGTGCTCTAGATGGTCAGTTATTTGGACTTACATGCTCTGATCTGCAAACAATCAAACCAAATTACGAAGCAATGATTAAAGGTGGTCATCTAAAAGTAACTGAAATGGGTGTTCAACATGTTGGTAAGTATAATTACAAACTGATTGTATCTTTGAATTATTCCAAAATAGAAAGATATGTTCAAAATTTAAATATGAGTTGATAAATCATTTATTTTAAATTAATATCGCTACTGCTTTTCTTTGGGAAATATAAAAATATACATGCTACCCTGTATCCAATCCCGAATCCCGTTACGAATATTTTTTCTATTCCACTTCTACATACTTATACATTCATATCTGCTTTTATCTTTTGGTTTTCCGTAGCCAGCCTTTTTTTATTTTAGTTATTTCTTATCTTATCAAGAAATGAATCAGTACCATGATATCACAGCTTGTTTGATCATAATGTCTATAACTTTAATACATTTAGTTTCTTAATAAATTCTGCATTATGATTTAGTGTCAACATATAATATAGAACAATACCAATTATAAGTAACCATCATTTCACTATAGAAAATACTTAATCATCAAAATTACACATCCATTGTATTTCTTAGTCAATTTCGCTAATGAAATATTAAAGTTAATATTGTATAGTCAATTTTATAAGTGTAATTATGGATTGTTCAGTGCCACTTAGTGGAGGACTTCGTGGTCGCAATGCAAAACGTAAATTTCCTGGAGAAGGAACGGGCACGGGTCCTGGTAAAAAGGGTAGAGGTTCAGATATGGCAGCTCCTAAATTACCAGCCCATGGTTATCCTCTTGAACATCCTTTCAATAAAGATGGTTATAGATACATCCTTGCTGAACCAGATCCTCATGCACCATTCAGACAGGTATGTTATTATACTGCTTTTGCTATTTTACTTAATGAAAACTTAAATATCATTAACATCATTTAATAGGAATTTGATGAAAGCAGTGACTGGGCTGGAAAACCTATTCCTGGATGGTTATACAGGGCTTTAAGTCCAAGTGCAGTTTTACTTGCTTTACATAATAGAGCTCCCCAGCTCAAAGTTTCTGAGGACAGGCTTGCAGTCACTGGAGAAAAGGGCTATTGCATGGTCAGAGCTACTCACAGTATGTCGGAATCGATCACGTGATTTTATTTCATTAAGTTAATGAACATACTTTAAATAACTTGTAATTAAATCAAATTGCCTTTTATATTCTTTGTATTATTATTGTGTAGATGTAAGTAGAGGAACATGGTACTGGGAGGCGACTATCGAAGAAATGCCTGAGGGGTCAGCCACAAGACTAGGCTGGGGTCAAGAATATGCTAACTTACAAGCTCCACTTGGTTACGACAAATTTGGATATTCTTGGAGATCTAGGTACTGTGACCGAAACTAAGGAATTTTAGATTTTTTATTTCGACCCTTCACGGTCGTAAATCAAACTATAACCCCGCACTAAGAAATAATTATTGATAGGAAGGGTACACGATTTCATGAAAGTAGAGGTAAACATTATAGCAATGGTTATGGAGAGGGTGATACCTTAGGATTTTTAATACTTTTACCTGATACACACGATGTTTCACATTTACCAAATACCTATAAAGATCGGGTAAGTAAAAGTTCCAATTTATGTACAATATTTCTGTTTTCATAAATTGATATCTACACAATAGCCCTTAGTTAAGTTCAAAAGCCACCTTTATTATGAAGAAAAGGATCAAGTACCTGAAGCGCTTAAAGCTCTAAGACCACTCGAAGGAAGTAAAATTGTATTTTACAAAAATGGAGTAAATCAAGGCGAAGCATTTGTTGATATTAATAAAGGGGCCTATTATCCTACTATCTCGATTCATAAAAGCGCCACAGTTTCTGTCAATTTTGGCCCGAATTTTAAGTATCCTCCTACGAACATGGCTTTTAGAGGGGTATGTATGATATTAATCATCTGTATTGAATTTATACATTTTTTCACATAATTTGTATTTTACAGGTGCATGACAGAGCAGAAGAAACAATAGCAGAGCAATGTATGGCTGATATACTTTATTTCACCGAAAACGAGGGAAAATTAAGACTGGATACTTTTGCTTTATGACATTAATGTATCTTTTATTTTTGGAATTAATTTTTATTTTTGATTAAATATACGGAACTACCACATATTAAGTTCAAACCTTCATGATTATAGTGTTTTATGTTTGTTCATTTGTTTTAACGATTGAACAGAATTAAATTCTATTTTTGAGAAGTATAATTACATAATATGAAATCATTATACGTCGTTATTTTCCAAAGCCACCTCGACAAGCGGGACTTGGAGCTACATTACTATTGTCTTCCCATTGACTAGGTGTTTTTGCCTTTGTACAGAAGCAATAGACAAAGATTTATTTTTATTCTAACTATGTGAACTAAGTTTCAAATATTTTTATAACACTTACTACGATTGATAATGCGTGCACGCCGTTTTCCAGTTCTACTTGCAATAAGTTGTTTATCATTTGATGGCGCTAAATTGACAAAATTACATCTTTGATATAAATACTCTGTTACGTAATACATAACAGTAAGGACTACTGTACTTAGTAAAGTACGAACGTGTTAACACGCTCGGGCCCACTTGAGTAGATCTACCGATACTAGAAAAGCTACAAGATTCAAAAAGGTATCAAAATCATTTAAGTATGAAAAAAACATGAAATCCAATTCTCAAAGTGGAAATAAGAATCTAAAACACCGGCGTCATCAAAAGAACGTCGCGTCTTAATGATTTAAATTACAACCTCCCCTTATCTCGGCGGAGACGAATCTGTTACTATGGGCTTGAATGTGTTAATCTAAATTCTCTTTTCGAAAAGACTCTTCATAATGATAGAATCTATTGTGTAAAAGCTAAATACCCATTATAATCTTAAAATTAAGCAAAATTTATTAACCTAGAGTAACTATGTTGTAAATTTTGTCTTACCTTAAGAAGAGGTTTATCTGTGAACTTATCAGATACAACAATTACTTTAAAATGAGTTTCAGATCCTTTAGGAACATTATGCATATATGATTCATTTATTATTTCAATATAAGATGGATTCAAAGAACCCATCAACTTTTTCCTTATTGAATTTTCTATTGGGTTAGTCACTACAGAACTCATTTTTTGTAGAGGTACCAATGTTTTTGCATAGTCTGTGAATAATATAATATAAAATATGCAATAAAAGTATTTTTACTGCCAAGAAATATTAAAAGATAATTAATTTTTTATTTCTATGTTGTAAAGAAGAGTTGGGTTAGAATGAATAAAATAAAACCTAACCTACGAATTTTGTAATTTAACCTCACAAAATAAAGTAGCATTAATAATATAAAAAATATTACTCACTTTTTCCTACTGCTAGCACAGTTCTATACATTTGTTAAATTATATTACTTTACAAATAAATAAATTATTTATAAGAATGTTTAATTGAAACGCAGATTTGATCATATGACAAGAATTACAACATTGCATATTTCTTTACTCCAAGGCAATACTTTTTGTTCTAAAAATGTTACTTTGAACATTAATATTGTATTCCATTGCTCATTAAATTCCAAAATTTATTTTGAATGTGAGAAAAAAATATGAACATAATTATACTTATAAGTTACATAAGTATACCTGATGTCACGAGAGTCCATAACTGCGAAAAGACCAGTTTTCGTTCTTTTCTGCGCATTGTCGCTCTGATTGGCGATACTTCCAGCGGAAGTGGAAAGCGATTGGCGAATCGCTTTCCCCCACCATCGCTGCGTTCCTCTACCATCTTTCAACCTGTGCGCTTAGTTATGGACTCTCGTGACATCAAGTATAAGTACTTACGATTAATGACAGAATTCTATCCACGTATCGTTTAGGTTATCATTTTATTAAATTTTTTATACATATATACATATATTCAATTTGGAAGTCACGAAATACGACATAATTTCAATTTTTGTTTTACAACATCTAATAGACATTTCCTTATAAATTTCTGCGCTTAAATATCAATTTGAAAATTGAAAACATTTTCATTACATTATGAATATTTAAATTTGAAGAAGCGCAAAGTTGCGCGCCAATCTTTTAAAATACTTTTCAAATTATGGCAGATCATTCATTACTCGTCTGTACGTTAGTACTTATTTTATTAAGATATTGTTAATTATTGTGGATTTTAAAGAAGGAAATTAATGGGAAAACAAACAGTTAAGAATAAATATACTCTATATAAATAAATTTTTTAGCTTTCAGTAATCTTTGTTAGACAAAAGGGAAATAATGTTTTAACCACTGTAAAATAACAGTAAGCACAATGTATTCTTTGAATGCTTTATTTATTATTGTGTTCAGACAGATACTTATAAGGAAAATTCAAACTGCGCCAGAAAATTATTAAGTTTTGAACAATATCAAGTGACTAGGTGATGGATTTCAACTTCCATCAATATTTCATCTATAAAAACATTTTATTATACACGGTTGTAGGCACATTATTAACTCTTAAAATTTTTTTTTCTTATCCCGTTAAAACATTGTGTTATCACATTCGCGATAAACAAACATTATAACATATTTACATTTTACAACATTCTAGTAAAGAAGTAAAAAGTTGGGCTATACAAGAAGGTGATGTAATGTTTTTGCGTACAATAAAATATTGCTATAATTTGTTGAAATCATGTTTCCCTGCGATCATTATTATCATTATATTTTTGCTCTGCATATAAATATTAATTTAATTGCAATTACATAAATCTGCGAGCACAGAATATGTATATATTATACAAAAACAAATAATTTGACTAACGTGAAACGTGGCATCCGTTAAATATGAATGTTTATTTTTTTCAAAATTCACTTGATTAGATTATTAACCACGTTCTCGGAAATAAAGTATTGCTCGGTATAACGAAATTAAAATATCATATCAGTATTTACGTAATTATGAGCTCAATATGAGCTGTTGAATGATATTTGAGAATCTTAAATTGGCCTATGTTAGAAGTATCTACAAAATACTACGTCGTCATTTCCATTTTTAAAGTTAAGGAAATGATTCTGTTCCTGAATGGAGGATGTTTCGAACGAACATCTTTTTTTCTTTTTCGTTCCCGCTCTTTCTCCCGAACGTACTAGAATCCTCGCGTATTGGAAGAAATTGCGGAATTTTACTTTAACGGTCGGCCATTATAAGAATTATAAGTAGTTTATATACTTTCATTGCTTTATACATCTATTTACACATACAACTAAGCTGCCAGGAGAAGAAATGATGTAGAAGAGAAAAATAATCCCTAAGGAAGGCAGCTTCTACGGTTGTATATTCTCAGGTATACATTAATACTAGCGATTCGAAATAATTTCTCATCATTAATCATGTAAAAACGTACAGAAAAGCTACGAGGTAACTCGTGTTGTCGTACTCGTTACGTTTCAGTCTCATAAGGATTTTTGACGCCATTGTCCTGCGTATCGAAGTCTAGCAACTTCTTACATTTTCGTATGATTCGAGCGACGTTATTATACGCGGGACAGCTGTTTCAAAAAAACATTTTTTCTTTCATTTATTAATAGCGCTTCTGCTTTCACAGTGTGCGAGATACAAAATTATCTTAACTGTGGCTTTATATGTTTATCACAAAAATATTGAAGATCAGGCTATCGTTTTTATTTTAGATATTTGTACGGGAAAAATATTTTTAGGCACTTTTTTGATATGTCTCGAAATAGATATGGACCTTATCGATTCCACTTACCTTTTTTTCTTTTTGCAAGTTTCTCTTTCAGAAGTTACGCAAATATATTCTTATAATTTTGTACTCTATTTTTTGCAAGCTATCCCATCGTTTGAACGCTCTTTCACACTTTCTTCCTTCTCTGTTTAATACAATTCCTATCTTACATGCAGGAGAACGTCGATTACTAAGTGGAAGGTTCGCATATAGATACAGACAACGATACAATGACGTCGGGTGTCAATATACATAGATTGTCTTTAGCTGATCCTTTAGTTCAGGAGGAATGGCACAAGTCTCCGACTCCGGCTTCCTTTTTACCAAACGGCGCCAACGCCCGCCGATATTCTTACGAAAGCCCTTTGCAAATCCAGACCTATCCGACGGTAATGCGTGTACAAGGGTATCCTGAAACAATAACACACAGAGTTATTTATATACGATCCCTGTGGTATTACGCATTACGAATTTAGGTTTACAACTTGCAAACGTTACTTTCGAGAACCGGCATGATTAACCATTGAGAAAGTACAGTCAAGTGCAATGTAGGCTTTTATTTAAGGATAAGAGAAAGAGTCACCCACCATTTTGCCTCTGGTTTTGGGAAAACCCAGGGCAGCAATGGATTAAGATTGTTGGACCTCGAGGCTATCAAATCTTGTTAAGGACCCTTTGCATTGATAAACTTGGTTACAAAATTTTTGCAAAATTAATTGAGTCTAAAATTTGCACACTGACATTTTTTAACATAGTACATGGAAGGCTTAGAACAGGGCCTGAGGCTTGGGGCTGTAACCCTAGTGAGACCGTCCTTGATCCGGCGCTGATTCAGGGAAATCTTAGGGAGAACCCCAGGGGGTAGATAAAGAAGGTAAATACACTTAATTCCTCTTTTTGATTAAAGGAAATTTGAGTTTTCCTTTTTGAATATTATAGCCAGTGGTAAGACCTCCTGCGCCGCCATTTCCTCTAATTCCTACCATTCCCTTTATTCCTACACTTATGTAACTCAAGTTACAAGAAAAGGAGCAAGAAACAAATGATAAAAACGAGTGAAATAATCTGTATACAAATCATCCGTGAGCTTGAACCGCACACGTATGTGGTGGCTAAGTAGCTCAGAAAATGACGACTTTAACAACACAATACATACGACCAGAATGATCTACGAGGCATAGAAGTAGTCGAATACGTTGACTCGGCTGAAAAAGCAGGATACGCCTCGTGTATCCGGGCGAGACGTTACGAAATCGACCACCAGGGGCCAAAAGAGCGAGAAAGAGAAGGAATATGAACAAACGAAAACCGTTGAACAGAGGTGGATGTGACCGTGATAGATGATACATGGACAGAGAGACAGGATCCTTGTTAACTGGAATTTAGAAAGGGACTCTTCTGACAAAGGAAGGATCTTAACTGTACAACTTCAATTTCAATGGATTTTTATAAGATGATGGTATACAGGTTCTTAATCGTACATAATAATACATGAAATGTTAGGTGTAAAGTAAAAAGTTAACAAAGTTTAAGATTTCTTTGTCCAGGAACGAATGCAGAAGTTTTGAAAGGGGGCCAAATATGTCGATCGAGTGTCTGCGCCTAATATTTTCTTAGGAACCTGTATGCCACCATCTTGCAAAACCTACTTGTTGAAATCGCAGTCGGACAGTTGGGAGGACCTTACCTCTGCGCGTCGCAGAGGAAGGCCAGGAATGAAAATACGTTTCGACGTGTTTCCCACGAAATACCATAACAAAATTACAGGAATATTGCCAATATCGTCAAGGAGAGACGCATTATTTTGTCGACTACCAGACAGCTGCACCCTGTACCAAAATCTGGCGGCTTGGCAAACGATCGTCAGACGCCCACCCACGTTAAATTTAGAGACAGCACGAAGGGTAAAGGCAGGTTTTTAGATGTGCCTATGCATTGAAAACACCAAATATAGCGGCTTTCACGAGCTGTCAGACGCGTCGGTACAGTTTGTGTACTGCGTAACCGACTGTCAGCCACACACGCGATATCGCGTGCTCGATTATTAACTCTCGAACCTTATGGCATAAAGCGACCGATTCAGGGCCGACAGTAAGCACGTCATACCCCAAGCAGTTGAGTTTTCGAGTAAAGACGACAGACGGTGATGAAAATGTTGGGAAAAATCGTGAAATGACTCGAGTGATGACTAAAACCGTACACGTAACACGGTGACGTCAGTAATTATAGTAACAAATTTAAACATTCGGTCGTTTTCCACGTATCGGTTACATAACCTATACAAAAAATGAAATTGACCCACCACGTTTCTAATTTTATCCAATGTAAGATTCATATCGTAACGTATGAAATTTATCGACCGATACTTAAATGGGAATTAATCGCGTGACGTATAGTATGAACGTAAGAAGGAAAAAGAACGTTCAATCTAATCTCACTTCCGCGCAAAGAGGAGTCACCTCGTGCTCCTTTCCTAAGGAGGTATTTAGATACATTGTACGTCATACCTGTGGAAACACTTGGATATCAGCGACGATGACGTAGATAATGAACGTTTATAATGGGAAATAATCAAGGCTCACAGTTCAAAACACGGCGGCATGAGTCGATTTCAGAATTTAAACTCGTAGGGACTAAATATAGTAGGTATACTACTTATGTACCGTTCTAGAAACGCAACATGTAATGGAGTTGCTATGATAAGAATAGTTGAAAAACTAGCAGATGTATAATAATGGAAAAAGCAGTAAAGATTTGTCGGTAAGTGGAGCATGAAACTGAAACATACGGCGTGTTAAATAACGGCAACAAAGCATGGTTTGAAGTGGCAACGTTGCCGATTGTTTGGGATTTTTCTGGCGGCAAGCCTCGTAGTGAGCCTCGACCTTACAACTCGTTTGCCAACCCGTCTGCTCGTATGCTTCGTCCTTGGAGGATCGATAGCGCCATCGACTATTATTAATAACTACAATTTTCAAAGGTCTTACCGTCACTGGCTTTATCCTGGAACGTTGATAAGTCTTTTATATGCGGAATATACCTTATTTCTGTACAACAAAAGCGTCAATTACGTAATATTTTAGCGAAAATATTAACTAAATACAAAAATCTATACTAGTTTCATTTTTCTTATGTACGTTTGAAGAGTAATTATGGAAACCTAGCAGCACCCTTATTTGACCCTCCCGAGTTACCTTGTGTAACCAACATACGAAATTTCGTACGCACAATGGCGGACCTGAAAGAGGCGGTATAGAGGCTATTTTCCCTAACTTGTTTATAGTATCAAATCGTGTAACAAAAGATTCAGAAATATATTTTTACTCAAAGAAAAGTTTCTAAATCCGATCCTATAAGTTTGACTTATAAAATTGTCTCTAAGGTTATTGTACGTAAGTTGAGTACTCAAACATAATAAATATAATAATTTGCCTTCAGGAAACAAATTGCGCTATGAATTCCTGCCTTTACAAATTTTCAAATAACGAAAGCGAAACAAAATTATATAATTGGAATGAATTGTTTGAAAATGAGACTAACTCCGATTGAATAATGAATGCAAACTGCATTGTAACTTAAGTGCATTATAACACATTATTTAGTTTGAAGATATCAACCAATTTTTAAATAATCAACCGCACAATTCGTGCATGTAATAAGAAAAGAACTGATCAAATTTAGAGACGAAATTATTCGTTGATAAGAAATTAATTCAGTTACGTAAACAAATGATTCTAAAATACGGTCAATTTTCGTTACATTAGAATAGCTTAACTTGAAAAAGTTAAGAAACGATACGAGACTGAAACGAATATCAAGATGATGCTGATAATACAATTTAATAAAAAGAAAAATTAATTTGCTTATTTTAGCGACATATATCTTTGAACAGAATACATATTAAATGTCAGATGTCACATGGTGCGAGGCGCCTTCCAAGTAAAATTGCAACGAAAATAACTGTCTGTTACGTTATTTTAAAACAGATTTCTGTTTATTTTTAATTTAACTAAAGCGACGAAAATTCTATTTCTTTCAAAATAAAAGTGATACATATGACTATGTCTATGAATTTGTTATTTCAACAAGTTTTTGTCTTTAATTTGGTTGTGCTTTTTAAAATGTTTTAAATGTAATTTTTTGGTCATCAATTCAGTAACTATTGAATTTGTTATTGTTAACAAATTATTAAATGAAAATATCTGTTTGATCCGGCTATGTTTTTTTAAGTAAAATGTTTTTAATTAATGATTCGTATTGATCGGGGTATATGCACCCTAATAGATTAATATGTCTATATATATAACAAGAGGGTAAGAAATTGTCTATAGTACTACGCGAATCGATCAGTTTAGGAATGCAGGAAGTATACATCGTACACAACAAAGCCGACGCGGTTAAAAACATAGCTAATTTCCTGTTATCCTTCAAAGCGAGCGACATTGTTGTCCATACCTTTATCTAAACCTTTGTGTTTAGTTTTTGTTAGAAAACAAAATTCGCGACCCAAAAGGAACAGTGTAAAAGTTAGAAAATGAAAATGATATGAAATACAAAATTAAATTCAAATTAGAACTTCTCCATGGTCCGCCATAAAAAATGGTTGCTAAGATGATTTTTAATGACATAAAAGTATCACAAAATGGCACTTATGGCACAAGGAACAAATGCAGTGAAAGAAGACAGTATCAGTAATTATTATAATAACCAAATAGTCCTTTGAAGTAAGGAATAAACTAGTCGAATCTGGTAATACTAGCTCTACTGGTTGCTGCAACATCAAGTAAAAAGTAGCATGGGATAGAGAGATCAACCGCCAAGAGAGAAACGGGTAGACTCGTTTCGTTGTACTCTTCAATATTACAAGTTTGTTTCGTCAACGGCCTTAAACACAATCTACCGGTTCTCGTAAGCAGATTTTTTCTTAAAAAACTTTTCCTATGGAAGACTGTAGACCGTGTCTGCTCTCTCTTAAATTACCACATAGGTTTTAAAAGAGAAAGCCATGTTGGGCACGGTCAGCCCTTTGATGACCGTCTGCTGTTGGTACATAAAGAAGATTCGTGGATCCGTTTATGGTCTATTCTAAGTTCAATCATATATTACTAAATCTAAACTAAACTGAATAATACTTAACCAAATAGACAGACGGTCATCCTTTGGGAAAACCAGACAAATCCAAGGGTACAGAAAATATAGGTTATAAGTGAGAGCAAAAAAAAAAAAAGACAGTTTTACCAACCTGGTCGTTGTACAACGCATACTGCGCCGGTGTGTGTGGCGGTGGATAAGGAGGCGGAAACTGCCAGACGAATTGATCAGTCGGATTGGCCGAAGCGTAAACGGTATCCTGTTCGATGCTTGTGTTGTTCCCCAGATCCGTTGACATCGTGGTCGTAGACGTTTGAGTGCAACAACCCTCGACAGGATAAGAGGACGAGACGATCGTCGATACCGGCGGCGTCGTAGCTGTCTGAACTACTGCCGGTTCCGGATGTACGGCGTTCGAGTGATCCTCTCGTTTCCGCAATTTGCTACGGACAAGACGAATCGCTATCATAGTTCCATTGCTCCCGACCATCTTTCTCTTGTATTTCAGGTACAGCTTCGAGAGCTTCTTCTTAACTTGCGAAGAAATTTTCAGGCTGTTTGTGGTAGAACTCTCGAACGAATCGAGAATTCTGATAGTTTCTTGAAGAAAAAAAAAATATACAGGGGTCTACTAGGTAAACCCGTGAGATAATTTGATTATTCTTTATAGAAAATAAATAGCGGTGATTCTTCTGGCAAAAGTTTTGCTCTTTGTCAGTCTTTATTCTCTCTCTCTCTCTCTTTTTATCTCTTTCACTTTTCTCAATGGGTTTCTCTTCAAAATTCTTTCCTTTTTCTCTTTTTAATTTATCGTAAGCCTTCGTCGTAAATACACGTTGTATCACACAGGGGAAACAAGTTGTTGGCTTGGATCGTGTTTGTTTAATGTATCAATTTGACGGATTTAAAACATCGAACCTGATGAAAATTTTGTTTTGATAATCCTGTGCTTTTAGCCCACCTTTTTCCTTTACTTCTTTACTACTGACGTATTTTATGCATACTCCTAATGTTCTCGTTTACGTGCTCACTATAAACGATGACGCGTGCGTTCGGATGACTAGCTTCGGAAAATCCGTACCGTTAATGAACGACACCGGGATTTTATTATGAACAGCCGAACGAACGAACTATTATTCGGTATCGAAGAACCACCACCCGGCTTCTCTCACTGCCGAAGGGCGCGCGAGCTGCCAGAACTCACAGAAAAATTTACTACGCTTCGCTCATTTCAAAGCCAACCAAGCTCTGAGCCAGATGATGGCGCGTCGCGCTATTATATACCGTCAAGTGACGTCACAGATAGGCGCCGCTCCGATTGGAGAGAACCCTGAGCATCGACCAATCGGCTTACGCGTTACGTGAAATTCGAACGGTACACGCTTGCCCGAACTGTTTCATCGTCGTCATTCCGGTAAAGTTGTCGGTAAAGCCAGTTGCGAACGATGCATGCTTTTTTCAAAGCAGTAACGTTTTCTTGGAAATAACATAATCAAAACTATCAACGTAAAGATATATATATACTTGTAACTTTGTAATATATCTACATCTTTCTGCGTTTGATAAAATCTTGATAAATGAATTTTTGGTCGTTTTAAATCCAATAATCTTGATTACATTTAGAAGATATCCATTAAGCCTAGTATTATTTCTTACTTAGTGGCGTCAATCTAAAAGTGATTTTTTGTAAAAAAAACAAGAAATAATCTAACATATGTATCGATAGATCGATGGATTTATTTGAAATTTATCATGATTATTAAATTATCAATTATTTTGCAAACTTCCAATGAAATTTAAGGTCAAAAGTGGGAAGTCAAAATATAGAATTGTATAATAAAGTTTTGGAACCACTACTATTTTCTGTTGTAAATATTACACAACAGACTTGTGATCCCTTACTCAACAAAATTAAAATGCTTTGTGAATAGACAACCACTTAGACAGAAGAAGGGGAAAATTGGGTGGGTGTATTCGCGTGGTCTATTTAATTAGTATCTATTCTTATCTTGGGTGTGTACACACAATGTGGCTACATTACAAAACTAGCTGGATTATCGCGTTAAGTGTACCAAGTTCGCATAAAAATGAAAAAAGGTCCGAAATTTCCATGTACCTGTAAAATAGAGTTCAACTATCCCGATATTTACTTTCGATACATGTAAACACATCTAAGTAAACTTTGGAACATAAATATTGGGGTACCGTATTTTAATATCAACGTAACTGGTTCGAGAACGGTACTTTCATAAAATAAATTTATAATCAGAGATAATGTATGATTAATTTATCTGTATGAAGTGCAACTCGATGACTAATATGAATCCATTTGTTAACTATCACATCCGCTCAACTTTTTTATCACTTGAACTTTCCGAGTATGTATTACGATTACAATTATTTCATCATCTCACACAATTGCTTCCGCGTATCGAACAAATTAATTAATATTTTTATATATATTTTATCTCAGAAATGGTACTTGAAAGATAATTGTTTAATATCCCTAATTATGTTCAACCTCCAAAATTTAAAAAATTGATAATGCTAATCATTTTGTGAAACGAATTGCTATAAAATAATTATTAATCAAGAGTAAAAATTTCAAATTTAACGAAAATTAAATTTAATAAGACGTCAGACTGTACAAAATAACTTTCTAATATTCATCGAAAATAGAATATGAAATTTTGCAATCGAGCAAACAAGGAAGACCAAATTCGATTCAATCAACAGAAAGCTGAAAAGATTCTGGCATTTGACCAAGTCACGAGGAGTTTCAGAATTGATCGTTGAAATTTAGAATTGATTTTCCCAAGGGAGAGTATAAAAAGGACGGGTAGTTTCGAAAGGATCGAATAAGTTTTATAAGTAAAGGATCTAACAAAGAGAGAAAGAAATTGAAAGCTGACCTTTTCATCAATCATGTACTGTCAGACTTATAGCATAAACGGTGGACATTTATTATAGATTGATCTAGACGAAAATAGGAAAACAAGTGATAGGTTGATTAATTTTTTTTTTTTTTAAATGTTACTTTTCTTTTCCTAGCCGACATTCGACGAACTTGATTTAAACTGTGTGGAAACTTTCTTCTATATCTGCTGACTTAGTCTATCGGGTTTCGTATCTGTTGAATTCAAGTTTAATCAATTCACGCTTTTACTGTACTCGAAAGTACTTTCTACTCTATATTTGGTGAATTTCAATCAGATTGACTATAATCCTTTTATACATATGTTCGCATCTCTTATCTATAGGCAGTTGCTGTTAATCATTGGCGTAACTGGAATTTTTTTTCTAGGGTGGGACAGATCTTTTAATTTTACCAACAGTGTCGACAATTTTAAAATTTTGGAATTTTTCAATTTTGAGATAAAAATTTGGGTGAAGCCATAGAATGTAAAAATCTTACGATTAAAATTTCAAACTGAATGAACAAATAATCAAACAATAACAAAAAAATATCTGTTTATTATTCTGTGTGAAACAAATACTGATTTAAGTAATAACCGCTGTTATCTTCCAGGCATGGAAAAAATAACGTGTCTGAAAATTAAAAACTTTGTTCCTCCAGATACAGAAAGAATTTTTTTTATGAAATATAATAATCGTGACGATTCATAATGTTTACAATAGTAAGTTACAACTTACTGCTCACTATAAATCTAACAGTATTTCTTTGTTCTAACGTTTAACATGCTGTTTCTGAAAACGCAGATTCGTGTTTAAACCTATTTGAAAAACAAATACGAAGACGAATGTAAATATTTTTTCTCCCGCCAATTAACGTTAATTTACATAATTTTACTAAACAGAAAAACGTAATAACTGGGGAAAATCATGAAGTGAGTCAATCAGTGGAATCCTTAGAAAATGTGTTTTCCGTCTATTCGCGTTTGGATTATTCAAGTTGCTGATTATTCTTATCATTCATTGAATGCTTTCAATTAATATCAATAGCGAAAAAAAAATTTCATTTATAATTTCTTGACAAAGTAAATGGAAGGTTTATAACCAGGTCCCCTTGAAAAGTGGGACCAAGGGCTGTAGCCCCCTTTAGACCTATCCCTTAATTCAGCCCTGAGAACAGGGGTGTACAAGAATATAATTAATCATTAAACTCTAGTTTAAAATATTATTTTTTATTTTGTAATAAATAAAAAAAAATTGTTATAAAAATTAAATGATTTCACGATTAAAAGTCTGCGTTCTAATTTAAAAAAAAAAATATATATATACATAATCATTGTCTACGAAAGTGTTAACAATTCGTTACCTGGAACACTTCTTTCCGTATGAAACATATTTTTGCATTATCTCTTTCACGAATCGTGTATTTCGACAAACTCACCAGATAACGTAAAGAAACAATAAAGAGAGAAAGAGGAACGCGTTAAGTACCGCATAGAGAAAAGAATAGAGTATATTTTCATGGAAAGCGTATCGCAATGAACGTACCTGGATAAAATCTGAATGCGAAGTTTGCTCAAGTGAATAAAACGAAAATACGAAGAAATGTATTTTTATCGATTGCGGTATTCGATGTATGGAGAAACCTTTCCGTATAATCTCAATCACGATGCTGTTCGACAGGAAAACTTACAATTGGGTAAATCCAAGATAAAATCCTTTATTACAATGAAATTCTCTTATTGGCTAACGGATTTTCACATTTTACTCATGCGAATTCACGTGTGACCTTCGAATTCAACTCACCATTGTTGATAATCTCTTTATATGTTCGACAAGTTTCTACAATATGCTTCCCTAGTCAAGTCATCACTTTCCACGAAACGTTTTTATTGTTTTACAGCTTTCCTCATCTGGTGATAAAGATACTTAAGAATCATCGAAAAAGAAAAATAACTGTTGAATTATTTATTCAATCTGTGAGTTCTGGCGCTTAAGACTTCCGATTTAAATTAGAATTTGATAATTAATTTTAGTTGGATTCCTAGGGTTCCCTAGGATTTCGTGGAATACAACTTGGTTACCTTTAAATTCTGTTATTAAAAAGCTAACATCTTTGTACTCAAATTGAAGTCATCTTCGACTATTAAATTGGCTAATTGATGATACGATGCTAATAATACAATAATCCATTTACAGGTGAATCAATTGAAAAATAGATACCCAGAAGAAAAATTAGTCAACGGTGGCCTTAATTGGATTGAACTTTAGTAGATGAATGCACGCAATTTGTTCATGTACGTCCAATTAAGCTACAATTAATGCTTGAAACGAGCATCCAATTGTAAACTTTCTATTTTCAATAATTCCAGATCTCCTTCCTTCGTCGATTCATTTAGGAACTTGTTCAATTAATCTGATTTATCAAACCGATCCATATCTATGTTATTTCCTTTGCCTTCGTCGCTTTATGCTTTCCAAAGAAGCTCTCGAAGTTGTTTCCCTGCTCTGTTTTCTTTTTCTTATTGAAATTAAGTAAACGGAATAACTTTTTCTCCGTTTATAATATCATTGAATAATTCAAGCTTATAAATAAGAAATTCTGTTCAATTTTCAATCTAAGAAAATTAACCTTTCATGGCCGGAATTCGATCATTCATTAATTTTATTGCAACAAGTCTCGTTGTCTATTATTAAAGCATAAAAATCAATTTAAGATGAGATGTATATTAATTAGTTTTCAATTGAAGAGCTTCTTACCATAAAGGGTTAATTTATCTGAATTTTGCAATGCACGTGCAAAAATATAACAGAAAAGTGAAAAGTAAAATAAAAAATTTTCATTTCTTTTTTTCTTTTCTTATATTACCTGATCGTCACAGCCAGTAGGACGATGATGACCCCTACTAACACCAAAGCGATCAGCACCCCGCATATCATGTATACGCTGTCGGCTGGTGGATCTGCATAAATAAAAGCATAAGCTGTATAACATAAAATATCATCTCTTATTATTTATCATTGGATGCGAAACAATAAGGAAGTTAAACATGTTGATTGTCATTGTCAGATTAAGAAAAAGGGCAAAACATCATCGCGAGAGATAAAACTATACCTACGATTATGACGTTATAAAAATGATGACGTCATATAAGTTTCATATATAATCTTTATTCATCTTCGATTATTGATTTTAAAACCATCTGCCTTCGCCGTTTATACGTGGCAAAGGTTTTCTATATGACGTCAAACAAAGCGTGAACTCTACCATAATCATGACGTTGGTTGTTTATTTTTAAATACCTTTTTTCACTACACTGATTAACTACGGTTCATTGTTAAAGTATCTAATCAATGAACTAATAGTAAGGGTCCCGTTATTTCTGAATCATTGAAGGTGCTAAAACACCGTTTATTAATGACCAACCTAAGTAGGCGTTTATAAAGACCCTCGTTACGTTAAAAATGATTTTCTCGATAAATTATTAAACAAAAAACAATTCTACTTTAACCCACGTAAAGAAAATCAGATGGTATCGTTCGACCTCTCATTGATCCGGTACTAATTAATTTATTTCTGTCACATTATTTCAAAAGTCAAGTTCACTGATAAAATAAAATATTAAATTCAATTAATCCTTTGTGTACAAATCCGCGTTGCATCGCACAAAAATAAAGCTTCTCTTCGAACGATCAATTTTATTTTTAACAATTTAATTTGATCTATGCATAAGATTGTCATAATCCCTTGTCAATTGTACGATTCCTTCAGGGAAAGAAATTAATAACGTGTGCTTACGATAGGTAGATAAAAGCATTAGGAAGATTAGTGACAGTCAGTTAGAGGTCGGAGAACAAGTATAAAAGAAATAATGTCTGAAGCGTAATAAAACGATGATGCTCAGTTTTGAAAACTGGTGGTGATTGAAAATTGTTGATTTCATTCAGCATCAATCTATCATTGTCAGGTACACACGTGTATCACGAGATCAACACGTTCGTTTTATTACGAAATCATTCTGTATGATTCAGTTCGAGGGTGTCCATCCCTACTGCAAAACGAACTAATCAATATCTATTGCTAATGCTCCTTTTCAAATTACGTTGCACTACCAATACCAATGGTAATACCAATATTAATACTAATATTATTACCAATACCAATACCACTAGCAATATCACTATTAATACTATACCAATATTAGTAGCAATACTAATATTAATATCAGTACCATAACCCTTGCCAATAATTAAGGGTGAAAAATTAAAATTTAAAATTTCTTATATGTTTTCTCTAATACACTCTGCAATATTTTTGCAGATATATTTTCAAATGACTTTTATGTAACATACCAAAGAATAATAATGGTACTTAAGCCTTCTTTGTAAGACCTTCAATACCAAAACCATTTGAAAAATTCCAATTGTCGTTTGAGTACAATAATTTGAATGCTTCCTGTATTTTCATACGTGCATCAAGCGTACAAACATTCTTTTTGTATACTAATTACGTTTAATAGTATCATCTATTCTTTTTTCGCCAACAATGTCACTGCCACCAGATGTTTCTTTATGTTCAACAGATACTCGGAAGTAAACAGCGTTGAAACGAACAAGCTTTTACACCGGACTATCTATAACGACCCGTTTGAAGACGTAAAGAACCTTCTGACGCAAATGTATAATTTTCACGAGCTATAGAAAAGCGTATTGGCCGACGATCAAAATATACAGACGGTAGAAGATGTTTTAAAGCTGCTCTCTGAAAACTTCAATATTCGACACACATTTTTAATTGAACAATTACAAATAAGCAAATTAAGTTTCCTTTGAAGCTCTGGATGCTTGAAAAATAAGGAGATGAAATTAACTGATAAATAAATAAATATCTTGGCCTTTTATCTACATATATGACGTCAACTGTGCTGTCATTTTTCAGTAAGATGTTAATTAATCTTTTTTTTACGATATAATATTTTCATTCGTTTATAAATGATCTTGTACCGAGAAAATGGAGTAATGAACGCAGTAATTCTTGTTACGTTCTAAGTTGCTGCGATATCCAGCCACCTACATTGGAAACTATATTAAGCTTATGTATATCTATGATCCAAAATTGTATGATGTACGTCAAGTCCTTCTGCCAGTTCTCCTCATGTTTAACGTCAACTTTCTACAACGCTCATTCAAAACGATGTCGTCAATTCGTGTTTTTCCATGACGTTATGCTTGATTGTTAAAAACAAAGTCTCTAAAACATTTGTCTTTACCCAATAAAAATTGATTCTTCTTTAAATAATATTTTTACGAAATCAAGATCATTTCTTAAGTACTTATATCGTAAACATGATAATTTTCATAATTTTGGGGAAATTTTTAGATAAGAAATATAACATATTTTCAATGTTTTTTAATTGCTGGACTTGAGGAGGACCTTCAGAGCCGGGATAAGGGCAGGTCTAAGGGGGACCACAGCCGACCTCACTGTTCAGAGGGTAGAAAAATATTGAATAAATTTTTTTTACTATTGCCCTCTTTTTTAAGACTAAATATTATTTAATATTTGTAAAATAAATTTCAATTTTTGAATCAAATTTATCAATCAAGGGGGACCTCAGATTTAATAGTCCCAGGACCCCAGAAATCTTAATCCGATCCTTTACTCATGCTGAAAACATGAGAAAAATAAACAATTTTTTTGTTTAAATTTCTAAATGAGATTCGCTAATTGTTTGGCTCAAGGACAACCTTGCTTAGTTTTTCCAGGGTTAAGTTAAAGAAACAGAAACTTTATAGAAGATTTTTAAAAATATACACCAAGATCTAAGAACCTTGAGATTTTCGCAAAATCCCGACGTTCCCCCATCGTTTCATTTCTCTTATCTTCTGTCAAAATCAAATTTCGTATATTCTCGATCTTATTGACGTCAGACATCACATAAATGTCACGTGCTCGGACCGTGGAACCGTTGGCTCTATACCGCGGAAAGTTTCTTCAATTAGAAACCAATTGATCGGCTTCATGGAGAGTTACCGCCCTAAAGTTATTTCGAGGCATCCAACCTCCTAGTTTAGAAGCCAGTCGAAAATAGAATTACAGCTATCGAGTTTGGTGGAGATCATTGATCTAATCATTGACTGCGACCAACATAATCCCATAAGTAAATTATCTTTCCGTCTGATTTATTTAAATCTTATCTTTTTCTATCAATTTGATAATATATTGTTGTTTTGAAACGATTTCAGATTAACTTGTGCCATAAGCTTCAGACTGATGTGCCATAAGTGCCATTTTGTCGTTCTTTTATGTCATCAAATTTAGTTGTTATTTTGCTATAATTGACAAGCAACCATTTTCTATTAATTCTCGGACGACGGACCATGGAGAGAGCCCCAATTTTAACTTAATTTTATACTTCATATTATTTTCATCTTCCAAATTTTACATTCTTCAATTTTTTAAGTTAATATTCTTGTATATGTTTCATAGGTTTGGATCTCAACTGACCCAGACTCCGCAGTTCAATGGTTAAAAATATAAATGAAACGTGTTCGTGATCATTTTTAGAAAATTTCAAGCTTTAAATTGATATAGAAGAAGAGTTATTTCAGGGTATTTTTATGTCATCAAATCGTGTCAGCCACTTAACATGCAACGACCTAATAATATAGTACGACCCCTAATACAACCATGCCCTAGTGATCGAACGATGAAAATAGATTAAGAAAATTAAATTACCATAGGGAAAAAGTTATTTGACCGATCGTACGTTACATCTCGTCGAAATTTTGTTTTTCTAAAATGTTTTCGATGAAATTCATTCGACAGGCAAGTAATTGCTAACGCATTAATAAAAGATCACTCACCAAGATGGGACAAGAATCGCAAGGACTCTGAAACAATAAAAACGATTGAAATTAATATGGCTCACCGACAGAAAAAAAAAAAATGAGTGTATACGCTACTAATATAATCCTCGCGAAGAATATCAGATTTCGTTATTAACAGAACCAGAGGGGATAGGGTTGTTCAGAGATAATTGAAGATCAATTGTAATCACTTTTTTTTTACTGAGAAACGAGAAAGTGTAATTTTTTATAACTAGATCTCCCTATTTTCTGCAAGGTCTCCTTATTTCATTGAGTTGAATTATTTATTTCGAAAATATGTGATAAAAGAAAAGCATAATTTTATATTTGATATATAGTCGAGATGTGAAATAAAAAGTGAGCTATTCCATTTGAAAACATCGAAGGTGACCTGGATATCTCCGGAGTAAAGTAAGGCAACGAAAGAAACGATACACGTACCATATGTCCCCTTAATAACGCTTTATTTTGTTATGAACCAATTTCTTCCTACAGTGAATGATTTAAGTGTTATTTCAGATGTTCAAATTAAACGTTTCACCCTTTATACCCTGTAAATTTGGACAAATCACAACATCACTGTTTCGTTTATCGTTTAACCAAAGATATCGTTCTTATAAATCACGAAAAAAATAAAGAAATACATGGAGTGTCTGTAGTTGATGACAAATTATTAAAATATTTGTGGAAATTGAAATGGAACTTTTGCACGGGGCCCCCTTATAAACCTTTGATTAAATTCTATTTAATTTTATTTAGAATAAATTTTAATGTTTCAATCAAGTTTATTAACCATGGGACCTCATGAAAGTTTGATATCCCCGGATCCCTTGAAATCCTAATCCGATCCTGGGGCCATCAATGAAAATTTCCATCTAAACTTAAAACTCAAATGGCTACCGTTTATAAAGATGACGATCGGAAATCATCATTTCTGGGTCACCCACTTCTTAAATAACTGGAATTAAGTGTTAAAATCTTAGGGGTCTTCGAAATCAGAACAGTGAACCTGTAAATTCTGCCATTTTATGGTATTTACTATTGGGTTTTCTTTGACCCTGTACCCACCATCCAAATGTCAACAGACAAAAGAAGACTACAGGGATATCCACAAAAAGTTAAAAGTAACTGTGAAAACTTATTCAAAAAAGAAAGACATAGAAGAAACCAAAAGTTGATATCTTGAAGATCTTTTGAAATCATATGCTGTATGACAAAAAACAGAAACAAAAATTTCGATCGGTTTACTGATAACTAAAATAATCGAGGGGGCCAAATTAAATGAATCGCCTCGTAGAATTTTTCGAAGGATGAATGTCAATGAAATCGGGACAGTTGGAAGCAAGGGTCATACAGCTCTAAAAACGATAGTGTCTTCCTAAAATGTTCGGGATTATTTTCGAGCTGTGACCTGGCTTCTGAGTTTATATTTGAATGCACCAGAAGTACTTTCAAGAGGACCGACACCTAAAAACCCCTTCAATATTCTCAGCTACTCAGCATTTAAATATAAACTGTATTTATATTTATAGTATCTCTAACACGGTGCTGATTAATTAACTATTCTATTGTGGTATTAATTTCGTTCTATTAGAATTATTAACAAATAAATATTATCCAAGAATTTGAAGTGTAAAACTACGAGGTTCTGAAATTCTAACATTCCAAAATTTTTTGGATCTGCCCCACCCTCGAAAAAGGTCCTAGCTACGCCAATGGTCATACAAGCGAATATTGAAAAAGGAAGCCAAAAAGTACGATATAGACGAGTCTAGACATTTTCGTCCACTTATATTGCCATTGTTGTCATCTCTACCTCCAAACTTATCTCGTGGCAAACTGGGGCACCCTGAACCACCAGGGTGCCCCAGTATTTTTGTGGACATACCTGTCTTAGAGGGTCAAACTGGGTAAGGTTTATATTTCGATTGAAGAGAACTTAAATAGCTACCGCCTAGAATATCGTGTAGTTATTGTACTCCATAATACGTACGTACTACTAGTCGAGGTAAATAAGAAAGTCGGGCACTGGTCCACCCAAGCTGACGCGGCGTTTTGCGAAGTTCTTGGCCCGGTCTGTCGCGACAGACAGCGTGTCAATAAACGCTATTCTTCTCTTTTTATCAAACGTATATTTACCTTCATGCGAGATATTAAAGAGGATCTTTCAAATGTTGTCAGTAAACGACGGTTTTAATTAAGAATTTCGTTCTACGTAGTATTTAGATAAAATTGGAATATCAGTCTGGGTGATTCTAATCTCGACACAGCACAGATCTTTTCTGGCATTCACGCTTGGCTACCGTTCATTCTATCGTCATCGATGTCGGGAAAAATCAGTGAAATCTGTTATATCTGTTGCAGACGTTTCATTTAACAGTATGTGTATCGAGTCTCGTCCAAATTTCACCCACTGGCTGTAACAGCTAATCGTGGACTTTGAACGCAATTCGAAATATGCCTTAAAAAGAAATAATTAAATTTTCACAAAAAAACTTTATTATCCTTGGTTCATTATGGAGATAAATCTTGTATTAATTTTTTTGTTTAGCAAAAATGTTTTGATGAAACAATCTTGTCTTATCGCTCTACGGAGAAGGATAGAGAAGTATAAAAACAAATAACTGTTGAAATTTATTTGTCTCCATTTTTCAGAAATATAGAATAATAAATAAACTGATTTAATTAATTATTTTGTTCAAAATACGTTGCTACAGTAACGTAGCAACCCGCTAAAAATGTCAAACTTTACACGCTTATAACTTTTTAACCATTCGATTTCTAAAGTTAAAATTTGCATTTTCAGATTCTACGCATCAAAAACTATAGATTGAAAAACAAAAATGTCGAAAGTTTGGTGTCCCCTAAAGTAAAGTTTAACCTTTTCTTTAGTTGGTGCCGGTCACCGATGGCCCCGCGGTATTAAGCGTGTTAATTAGATTAGGTTTATTTTAATAATTAGTCGCGTAGCTCTGTGTACCATAACTAATGTTTTGTTTTATTTGCAGTTTTTCCATGAAATTGTATGAATTAGAGCGTCTCGTGTTTCACTGTCAAGGTTTGGTAGCAAGTCTCCCGTTTAGCGGTACTAATTGCTTCTAATTGATTCTCTACGCACTAAGCCGTGTACAACTGATGAGATATGGTAGTTTGTAATAAATGAAACTCAAGTTTCAAATATTCCTATGGCCTTACATCATTTTGCGACGAATTCTCCATGATAAACGAATAGAAAGTTGTGAGAAAATGGGTTAAAAAAAAAAATTTTCAAGACTTACGTTTAAGGATCTTTAAAAATATACATTCTTTAGAACTTCTTATATTTTCCCTAAATTGAATCCACCATTATCGAAATACAAAACTATCCTCTAATACAAAGTTAACAACTTTTAGATTGAATACTTTTGAATCAAATTATACCACCATTTTGAATAAAATCCTAACCTATTAAACAACGAACAGCTACTATATATAGAATAACTGTTTGATTCTGACATCTTTCTACACCCATATTAGTTTTTATAATGTGATAGTGTTAAAAAGGAAGTAAAAAATTGTTAGGTTCTTTAATAAAAAAAAGAAATAGAATTTTCGAGTAATGGATACGTTGCATATGCCAACCTTGTGATAGTCACGTGCCCAGGGAATATATTTAAGCAGCTGGCGGTAAACTAATGTTGATTGTTCGGTTGAACGAGAGGTTAATCGACAATTGAACTACTCTTACGCTGGTATTAAATGGCGATAATGACCAGCTTCATTTTTTCTATGTTACATTTAAATGTAAACATAATCATGAAGCTTAAAAACTGTAAAATAATCTTCAAGGCAGGTTCATGATTATACATTATGAAAACTTAAAGTTAACCAACTCTCTTACAATGTGCCTCAAAACGTACAAACTGAACACCAAAAATAACTTACACCTTTCTTCTTTCATATAATATTTATTTTACTTACTCCTCACGTTGCTGTGTTTTATCACGACATCTTTAAGGTTTATTTTTCTCTGCAGTTACAGACGAGGAATAACACAAACCACTTTTTATGTCATAAAATTTGGAGGATAAGTTGAAAAACTACAAGTCTTATTTTTACACTTTTCCTTATACTAATGCATGCATTTAAAAGAATGCCACCTGCGCCATCTGGCAACAAACAACGCAACTGATAGAGATTATTATACCATTTCTAGATCTATACAATTTCTAGAGATTGTTATACCATCTCTAAATCGCTATAATTACACGTCTACGTCAAGGATCTGCTAGAAAAGCGTTACTGACTGGTTCATTAGCAAATTGTAGAAGAAACTGGTTTTTGCGTATTTCAACAAGATCGCCAACACTTTGAAATACTATAATCACTTAGAGGTAAATCAATAGTACCTATTAATGGCCCTATGAAAATTTTTATTTCTACAATAGTGATCTTTTCCAATTTATTAAAGCTAGTAAAACATTATGTATCCATCACATGCTTTAAATAAAGATATTAAACTGCATTTAATGCATTAGAAGTAATCAAGATAAAAATGAACAGAAAAAAATGTTTTCTCTTTCAGTGCTCTGACAGCAATACTGGTAGTGCCATCTACTTAGAGAATTTCCCGGATTTCAAGCAGTGATGCAGTGAGTACTTACTTATCGTTAGTGTAATCTTATTCTGAGCTATATCGGTAATGCAGAGTGTGACATTTACCTTAGCAAAAGGTTTTTCGCAAAATTTTGGGTCTTAACCTTCCAGTTGGCAAAAATCCTTCTCGCAATTATTGTTTCAACTATTTTAAATTTTTTTAAAATAAATTTGGATACCATTATTTGATATTTTACAAAACAGACAACAGTGACGAGAGACTTTATTAACTGTTAATGTAACAGTCTCTGGTCGGTGCTGTAACGCAGCCTTATCGATAAAAAATTATCACCTACTGATATAATCAATTTCTCTACTTTCACATTATCAAACCAATATTTTTAAACAAAGCAGCGGGTAAGTATGAAAATATTATTCAGTATGTTATCTTGTACACATTTATCTTCAAAATAAATTACCATTCAGAGATGAATTATAAACATGCAAAATACAATAGATACTGTTTTCAATAAAATATAATACTTTTACTAAAATATAATAACTTTTGCACTAGGAATTGCATGGTTATGAATCAATCCTTAGGTACTCATTTTTCTAGGGTTAAATTATATACAAGATTTTTTTTCAAAATCCATTCTAGAAGATTTTTCTAGTATTTATAAACTATTCTCAATTAGAACAGCTTTTTAATACTTCTATGAATCGAACATACATTTATATCATTAATCAAACTAATCTTAATCATCATCAATATTCTTCTGTCAACATGTTGAAAGAATCTAAAACCTTTAGAGATAAAATTATTCGATCGGTAAAGCAAAAAACGTTCGTGACGGTCTGGCACACATCTGTTTCATTTTTAAATGTTTTCTCTATTAGAAAATGGTTTATATACCGGAACACCTGATAGTCCATTGGAGCAAGACTTAATAAATAACTAGTGATTTTGATTATGAATGTTTGCCGTACAAGAAATAAGCATTAGGTGCAACTTTTATGTGCTTTTTAAACTTCAATCCCCTTAGACACAAATTTTAGGGTTTTGGGCCCATTTATCACAAAGAACTTATTTATCATCACAAATTACAATTCATGCTAAATTAGTTACTTAAGTAAATTACTTTTTATCACCGATCAATTCATCGCGAAATAAACACCCTCATATTAACTTCCTTATCTTTTCTGGAATTGCTAATCCTCAACCGATTAGATGTGATTTCTATTGGATAGAAAGTGAGACGGAATTAAATAGATATTATTGATAATGTTATTGATTTTTTGTATGTAAGATCTCAAATTTTTTATAACATTCAAAATTTTGTCCTTATATTGCATTTTATGATAATTATAATTACATCTACAATAATTATTTTATTTGCAATTCATTAATATTAATACACTTTAGGAAACGCTGTATCGTTTTTTCCAGCGGAAGTAATATGCCAACCGGAAATTTCCTCGATTCAAAAGTGATACTGCTGATCTACATACATGAATTGCAATCAACGATAAAGGTGGGTCCATTCAAGTCCGGAAATATATTTCTGTAGTGGAAACAGGTGGCCTTGTCCAAACTGACTGTATTTTAAATAAAGAGCGTTACAAGGAAATCGTAGAGCACCATACTGTTTCATCTGGGCTACGCTTGAGCGGTCAAGGATTCATGTTCCAACGCAACAATTTAAAACGTTCATTGAGATTTTTTCGTAGTTTGGTATAATGAAAATAGGAAAATACTATTTGACCTTTGTTCAATATCGGAGTAATCACTTCCACATTGATGTAAGGAATTTTTTGGTGAATTAAAACTTTATGAGATGGTCATCATAATCATCCATTCATTTTTAGTATACGATTGAAAGCCCATCGAGGAAAAATACACGTGTACTGAGCAAGTCAAAAAAACACATTTAAAAGAGCAGTTATAAAATGACTTAGCGATATAAATCAAATGATATTATCTATAATCCACTGATAGAAATCAATTATTATTTTCTATTGGATTGTTGGAAAGTTCGTAGCGAAATTTAATGATAATATCAAAAGCAACATTTTATTCTACACTATTGAGATTTCATCATTCTTGAAAGGAGGCGATCGCCCCTGGCATCGTTTTATGTTTCATAAATCTAGATCACCATGAACTCAGTTATAATCACGTTTAACCCTTCCCTGTATAATTTCTTCAATTTAAAAAAATACCTTTATTAAAACTTAAATAAAACCTTTATTTAAATTCTTTAAGTCAAATGAATATATATTTCCATTATGCATAAACGGATGAATACTTTTTCACGTTCAAGGTATAACAGATTACCAATAGAAATTATCTATTTACCATATTCAGGTACTGTAATGTGACCTTCGTGCCATTATCCGATCAAACGGATTAATGCTAAGGCTAAACCAAATATTCCATACACGCCGTAACGATGAAACTATGTATGTCTTTTGATCTGACGTAAAAAATGTTATCATTCAATCGTGAACAATATACAAAATCAATTTTCATCGCGATATTTTATGATAAAATGATAAATCTCGGTCAATGATTGTTTTCAACTGGTTACGAACGATATCTAAAATGGCGCAACTTTGGTCAATTGAGAACATCGATAGAAGACTGACGAACAAACACACCGATGCATAGTACGTCATAGGTAAACGTAAGAAGTTCTATTGTATCACTTCTTTCTACATTTTTATAAAAAATTTATCAGTGGACATTTACTCATTAGTTCTGTACATATTTGAATTATTTATTTATTTATTTATTATTACCTATATCACTTTTTCATCTAGAGAACTGAATTTCAAAATTACGCGCGTTTTATTTGATATACTTCCGCTTCCTAGCGAGGTGGGTGTTCGTGCCAGACGTTCACGTGTTTCTCCATGGTTATCTCATTAATTATTAGTAGGTAACACCTTTCATACAAACAGTTTTCTAAATTAATAATTACATTAACATTCTGCATTTTAATATTTTACCTATATTTCTGTTAACAGATGTGAACACTCATCCTAAGTACTGACATAACCTATCCGTTACCCGAAATTGTCCTGAAAAGACGAATCCCTCTTCACAATTGTAAGTAATCCCATATAATTTGTTATATGTAGACTTTTATTCGATTAGTTGAGGATTTTGTTACTTAAAACTGATTTTTTAAATTCTGTATTGTAAGTCCTTATATTCCATCATTATTTTTACATAGCCTTATTCTGCTGTTAATGCCCTTCAGATAATTTTATTATACGATTCCTGTTTTTACAAGTGTCAACACTAAAATGAATTCTCATTGAATTAAAGTAAATTTATCTTTGTTTCAATTTAAGTTTTCTTATATGGATTTAAAAGATTTGTGTTTTAATCAATTTGAATAAAAAATAAGAGGTTTGGTGACTTGTAAATTAGTATAAATGAATAATTTAATATAAAATTTTAATTTCCAATTTTATTCTTCGTAAATATATTTCAATATCTGGATATTTATGGTTGAATTTCGAATTTTTGAGAAAATTTTATCATTCGTCTGCACTGTGCTACATATTGTATTAATCACCGTTCACTTTGGAACTGAACTAGTCGACCCTGGACCAAATGTGTACGCGGCAAGTGTAACCGCTTTAAATCTGACCCTTCGCGAATTTCCTCGATCAAAATGATAGTGGAATGATATGCAAGAGAATCAAGATACGGGTTAGGATTACGATAAAAAAAAAACGTGTCTGACGTGTCGTAAATTATCAGCCCGATAAACCATAAGCTTTCTTATATGATCGATTTATCGAACTTTTTTTCGAGTATAATAAAAATGTGTCATATTTGATATCCATGGTCCGAAATCAAAGTACGATTGATAAGATGTGTAATTTTTAAAGGAGCAATATAAAATTTATAAAATGGAAATAATGTGAAATACAAAATTAAATTGAAATTGCTCTCTACATGGTCCACCGTGGGGTTAATAACACGTCCGAGGGTTAATGAAGGGTTAGGATAACCTTGTGAGGTTTACTTACCTCAGAGTCAAAATATAATTAAAAAATTTCAAATTTCTACCGAAAATAGTAGACTTCCCTACGGGAAATAGCGATATAGAGAAAAAAAGATTTCAACGCTTATTACAATACTGAAGAATACTTCTAAACTTAACACAGCACGAGAGCATTTGTCCCGGGCCTCTCGTGGAAACTTCCGCATTTTTTGTCAGAATTAATTAAATTATATATCAATGTTGATTTTTGTATCAGTACTCACTTGAAATGAGTTAAAACATAAATAATGTACATAGTAATATATACAAATCAAATCAAGATTAAATGAAATCTGTGCCATGTTTAATTGAAGTACGTTCTTTAGATATAATTAACGAAAACAAGTTACTTCTAAATTAACTCTGCTATAAGTTTCGATTAAGCCTAAAATAAGGCTGATTTAGATCCAAACTAGGTTAGAAGTAGATATGACGCGTAAGTTTATCGAGATACTTGTTTATTCGAGGTCAAATTTTTCTAAACGAACCAAACACTTATAATTAATCCATAACTGGCATAGTGGCCGCCACGTGCAGAGTACGCATACATAGTGCACGCGGGGCCCATAGAACCCTATAGAAATGTTCGGAAATTTATAGATCATAGATAAATTGGAGATCATTATTTTATTTAAAAAAGTAAAAAATTATTGAACTCTGATGGACTCTACCAAAATACTACGTATACACAACTTTGGGTACGAATGGGTTAGACTATTTATTTTTAATGACGATAAATATAAAAGTGCATTTGAAATAATTGTCCAATCTATGAAGTCAATTGAAATTCAACATATGAGACCGTCATAAGCGGAATAACCTTGATTTATGATAATATCAATTTCAATGACAATCAACTTATCATCGTATGGTAAGATGAAACCCGTCGTTGCACTACGTAAGATAATGAACGTGTACCTTATGTAATATAAATTAAATTTATCATGAAATAACGTTAAAATTGACTGTGCTCACCCGTGTCGTTATCGTGCCCTTGAATTCCATCTCCCACATCCTCGGTGGCCGTGGAGAGAGCTGAAACCAAAGACAAATAAGATCATTCTGCTGTACTCGCGTCTCCCTATTTTTTTTCTTTTTCTTTATCGTTGCACAAACGCAATTATTAATGCGCTCCACGTTATAAACACACGCGCCCTAGAAAGTAATCACGACCTTCCAAGCTTAACGGATAAATATTCAGATGGAACACAGTCATTTGCGGAATAATAAGAGTGTTACGGTGGATAACAATTAATATGTGTTTGATGTTCTCCTTTGCTTTTTACTTGCACTATTTTATCTGGGCAAGAGCTTAAGCGGAAAAGAGGAAACAAACGCATCGTGATGCAACTTAATCAAAATATAAACTCATGAAAGTAGAATTTTTTTTATCTAATCGACTCAGATTTTAATAAACTTTTGCATACTGAGTAATCGTGCTATTACTTAATTTTTTTTTAGTTTGTTGTTAGTGTCATGAATGTTTAAAAAAATGTTTGGTATTTATCTAATTGATAAGAATTTATGTTATAGGGGATTGAGCTGTTATATTAATTTTTGCATTTATTTTAAAAAAGTACATTTCAATTGCAACATGGAAATTTCTTCAATCTTTTGAAAAAGTATCTAAAGAATTTTATATAATCTTCCGAACACGTAATTGAACCAACGATTTGAATATGCATAAGTTAACTTGTAGACACTTGTTTATCACATACTGTAAAACTGAGTATGAAGCAATTAAAGTAAATGTCATTAACAGGTGTTTCTAGCGCAATATCACATGCTTTATCTAAGATGATAAGAATGGAAGTTCTTTGTGTTTGTTATATTTTCTTGTTAGATATAAAATATTATGGTATTATAAAATCACAAAGGAAATCGAAACGTGCAAATTTTTGATAAGAAAAACATGAAATCAGTTTCATTTTCTTTGTTCAATTAAAAATTGTATTTATACATTTTTATTTGAAAGAAAATTAATTTAAACTCTGAATCGTACGTTGGGTCACAACGACCCAGCCCCATTATGCAATTCGGTTCGTTCTTGAAATTCATTTATCTTTGTTAAAAGAGCAATTCTAACTACTTGAAATTAGTTTTATGTAACCACATTGTAACGAACTTTTAAAAAATGACACTTGGCTAATGATTTAAGAAGTGTAAAAATACAAAATAATTAAAGAATGCAAATAAAACTGGTAAAGTCAAAGTTTGTTCGCTTCTGTGTTAAAATATCATAGTACGGGTAAAGTTTTCTTTTTAAATATTATTCGCACATTTTTTTCCGAAAGAATTTCATTATATGTCATTACACGTCCCGTATGTAATTTAACAGTAATGACGACAGAGGAACAGATGTGCAAAACATGTCATAAATCTTGTTCGTTAATGACTGAAATCATATTACTCAACTCGTACTACTGGCAATCAATTCTTTCACATTACTCAAATTATTTACCCAGTGTTTTCAGGCATACTTTTTAATTCAGTTTGAAAAAAGAAAAAGAAAATGAAATCCACTGAGAAGTAGTATGTATGACATTCAAGCACATGTATCCGTTTTGACAAACGATTGAAATATCGGTATTTTATCTGATTAAAAAATGAAAAAAGTAAAGATAAGTATTTGCAAAAATACAAAAATGCATTTAGCTTCAATACGTCAGACGTTTTTTAAAGATTAATCTTTTTCAGACATTTCAATCGGTCTGATTTATTACTATTATAAAATTTTTCAAAAATATATTATCTCTTTTTTTGAATTTATTTTGAAATTCAAGTACTGAGACGTAATAATACAAACGGCCACAACTCAATATCGCAATACTTTGAGAATGAGAAGAATTTATATGTAATGAAATTTCTGTTGATCGTATGATGTGTTGGGTCAAAGGGGTCAATTCAGATCTCTTGATTATATTACTTATTAGTTATAGATGATGCTCGAAAAGACGCGTGATTGCTTAATCAAATGAATGAATGAATGAATGTAGACAATTACTGGTACATTTCGAGAAGACATTAAAATCGGTAACATTAGCCTTCAAAGTTAAACTTGGTTTGATGTAAAGTTCCTCTTTAAAAGTGACCAGGATGTTCTCTAGGCCCAACCCCATTACGAATGTATAGGAGAATAATAGTTCGATGGATATATGCCAATAATAGGCAATTTGCCAACGTTAGTGAACTTAAAATAGCGATTGCTCAGACTTGGAACAATATTGATCAAGATACGCGTCAAAACCTTCTTCAAAATATTGAAAATAGTATTTTCCCCTTCTTCTGCTACGGGATATCAAAATTATAATTGTGGAAATAAATATAAATGACATTCTGAGTTAGCTTCTTTTCTAATAAATTATATAAATAATAGAGGAATATTTATTTGACAAACCAGAATGTTAATCTTGTTTTCTTTTTCCGGTCATGAAATACTTGAAACATTTCTATCTATTGTTTACTGTATACTAAGAATTCATCCCTTTATAGAGGGCTTGATTAGGGTTCTTCTTCGTATTGAAGGCTAATGGAGAATTAATAGGGTAAATTACTTCCCTATGGGGTACTGACAATGAGTCATGGATAGAGGTTGTTAATTGATTATTTTATTTTACTTCCTTATTGCAAGCAATAACATTTAAATATTATGGGGTTGATATTTTTATCAAGAAACTGCGGAAGTATGCTTTGTATGTAGAAATTAAAAAAAAAAAAAAAATGTGACATAAAGGTCAGCTGTGAAAGAGTTTATTACAATATTATTAATAAATATTGGAGGCAAGAGGTTGCAAGAAACCTTTCATTAACAAATTAAATAAAAAAGACACGGAATTAGTTCTATTATACAAATCAATACCTGTTTCATATTAATTACTTGAAAAATCAATAATTTCCATAAATATCGTTATTATAATTTCCGTGTAAAGGTTATAGTCTTCCGATAAGGTTAACCAATCAATTTGTGCTACACGAAGCGAAAGGTAATCAATTTCTTGCTGCCAAAAAAACCTTCAACTCGATCGATGACACGCGGACGTGCAACATTAAAATCCCACTTGTATGGTAGACCGGAAAAAAAGTACAAGAACGCCGACCGCACACTAAGAAGTAAATACCGATTTCTTATTCCGCCATCATAAATCCATAACAAGTTTAAGACCCAGGAAGTTAACGATACCGATCGCTGAATATATGCATGCATGTGTTAGATCGAGTAATAAGTTTTTTCCTGTTTTTTTCAATTCTTAAATATATGATTTTGGCTAAGATAATAAAGTACTGTGAAATTATTGATTTATAAGTCGGTACAATCTTACAAAGATAATTTTAAAAAATAATCCATCTCAGATAACCTATTCAATCTTTAATTATTAAATTTTTCACTTTTCTTTCTTCTTTTATTGCAAAAAGAAAATGTTGTACTAAGAATAAATAGAAATCAGATTGAATTAAGTTAAACGAATGTTGTTGCAATGTTTTCGTGAAAGATTACTTGAATTATTTTTTAAACAGCTAATCTAAAATCTTGTTTAAATCAAAGCTGAAGGAACAATCCTGATTGACTCTTTAGATAATCATGAAAACAAATGATCGCACTTGTTGATCAAACTGATATATGTATTAAATTTTGAAAACGGCATGATAATTTCACAGATTTTGTAGAAGTTACTCGAAGAAATTAAAAATTCAAGAGGTGTATCTACTTCAAATAAGCCTAATTTGTAAAATATTTAAGCTTCTTAATCCTGCTACCTTTTGCAATATTTTATAATAAATTACTTCAACTTTTCAATAAAAAACCCTCTAAATTAAATTATATGTTATACACGTATATGTATAATTAAAAAAAAAGAATTTTGCTTTTTAATAAACTACTTGATGACACTCAAATCCGGGAATGACTACGTATTAAAGTGTAAGAATGAAAAAATGAGTAAACATGTTGTCTTTACGTCACAGAATCCTCACTATCCGAGCATACTTGAAATATCTCATACTTCCGCGTAAACTTCAACTTCATTACCGGCTGTAGACTTTCCACGTGTGACGACAGAAAAGAACTGTTATCTAAAAACGTAATACGTTTAATTGCACGATTTACTTTCGCCGACTAAGAGGCTCAACGTACGTCAAACACAACATACGTAGGTACTCTACAAGTCGTATCGGTTAAGTAGAATAATTTTATCTCCTCTGCAATAAACATCGTCAAACAACGATGCAGTTCTATTTGCCAATTCAAAGAAGAACATAAACATGCATCGTTGAAAAAAATATTGATATCGTTTAAAGAATGTTTCTTATTTTATATCTAATTAGGGTAAGCTGTGCAATTACTGGCAATTTCATATTTAGATTCTATTGAAAGATAATTTGTAGAAATTTGTAAAATAAAATAATTAATTGTAGGAAGAATAAAATATTGGAAATAATTATTGGAATATTTGGCATATTGATACCAATAATTGCACAAAATAACTCAAGTACATTGTAACACCTATTTGTGATTTTAACATTTTATTTTCTATGCCATTATTCTTTACTAGTTACAATTAAAAATTAGGCATATTGCTTTGAATCAAGAACCTTACATCAAGGTTCCCCATGAAAAATAGCGATGTCCTGGTTTTAATTACTTAATATATTGTCAAAATTAAGATTTTGAAAATTCCAGTTTCTCTTATATCGCCATTAACCCTAGGGAAATCTGATTCGATCGCGAGAGTACATAAATTGAAACTCGGAAATAATTCAATTAATAATCTCCTAACCTTCATTCGAATGAATGATTTCCTGGGGCTATTATTTCCTTCAAGTACCATTTTATCAAATTGGTGAGTGCAAACGAATTTACTCTGCAAGGTTTGAAACTTAGTTGAGGTAATGAAAGGTTACATAAATTTTCGAATGATTATATCAATACTCATTAAACTAGTACGATTATTTAACAATTTGTTGGGCTGTGCCCCTTCCCCTTAATCTAAAGAAGAGTTAAAGTTGCAAGTATCAAATATTCCTCTAAATTGGAGTTT